ACTGGCCTTCAAACAATTGTCCACCTAGATTTCAGCCTTTCCTAGATACCATCATTTTTCTTGCAGGTCTCAGCTGGTCCGCTCCCCAACAAGACAGAATCATATCCTATATCGGATTTTTACAAACGTTATTGTTCCCTTTACGTTGATTTTAAGCAGGACATCTTCGAAGGTGCTCAAACATTAATTCACCGTTGTCTTCCGCTTCTTTCTACGAAAAAGTCCAGCGCTGCTCGCACCTATTATGCTTATGACTTCGCAGATATTAGTTTAATCAACAATTTTGGCAGAGTCTCTCCTCCACGAACGACGCTGCATGATATATTGTCGGTCGTTTCTAATAAAATGCTGGAATTTGTGCCCACTAAAATTGCGAAAACCTACGTATCAGAATCGACCGACCCTCCCTTTCTTTTGCCAACACTAAAGCCATTGAGGAGGCACTTGAAAGATCGATCGACTAGTTCGCTGTCTGTGCATCTAAGAATCGCAGATATCTTCGAATGAGCGTCTAAGATTCGTCTTGCACGTGACCAACAGAGGGAATCTTGCGCACTGAGCGAGTTAAACTCTGCGAAGTCGGTTGCCCAACTGTTCCATTGAAAATGTTATAAACAACGTGGTCCAAATATGCATTTCGAGATATTTCAATATCTCAAATAAAATTAAAATAAGTGCTCAGTATTTTATATATAACGTCTCAGAAAAACAATCTATTGAGCATAAATTCGTAAGCTATACGAGCTTCAAACACAAAAGAAAACACAGATTCTCAGCCCTATCTAAGTTTGAATGATTTTAACCCGCTTATCTAAGAAAGCGTTTGTTTTTTTTTTTTGGGCCTTGAAAAATATCAAGCGTAATATGTTTGTCAGCACCAAAACAAAAGAGTTCAAAGAATTAGATATAAAGTGCGCTTCTTTTAAATTTTCATCCAAATATCACCCTTATCCAATCAAAATTAAGGCTAAACATTTATTATGTTGAATGCTTATTGGCTTATATTTTTCGCCAAAGAAAAAGGTAATTAAATGCAATGGTATTCGGAGGTATTTCTCTGAGTAATTACGAAGGGTTCCGATTGTACAAAAAAAAGAATGTTTGTGGCGTTAATTTTATTAACTAACAATTCAAACAGCTTCATTTCAAAATTGAAGCGCTTTTATAGAATAAAGAAACGATATCTTACAAAATTTTAAGAAAGATAATGATCTAAGACTAAATATTATAGTTTTAAAGATTGTAAGAAAGCATTTATTTCAGACACATTTGAAGCACAAACCAAATGCTTTCCAGGAGTTTTTACACCGTTAGCAAATTTTAAAACGGAAAGTGCTTCTCTGAAATATTAGTGGTAATTGCGTCGGGGTTTTTAGAACGATATTGAAGTGATATAGATCTGTATGGAGGCGTAACTAAGCCCATGCATACCAGACTCGCTACTTAGTTATGAAGGTAGGTTAAATTATGAAGTTATTCCGTATTTTGTGGAAGGAGTCAGACAACCTCTCAAGGGAGCAATAATTGCCCAAAATTAAGAAGATCCTCTCAATTTATCAACTGACAAGGCA